TCATTGCATATAAAAAAAATTGTATTATGACACTTTTTTCATGCTTTACCTAACATTTTAACACTTAATAATTTTAGATACCCATAAATTTATTAAGTATTCATTTAAAGGACAAGTAGTGTTACATTAGAGGTTAGTTAATTACAGTAAAATGATATATAGTTTAATATTGATTATAATTAAGAAATGATATCTTGTATGTTATTGTTTGAAACGGAATCATGGTATTAGTTTAATTTTTCTAATACTTTTGATGATTGACTAAATAACAAAAGAGCAAATATTATATGGACAATTTTTTTGTACAACATTTTTGTACAATTTTTATATGTTATTAAATAAGTATATATACTCAATATCATATATTTCAAATGAATAAAGAGAATCAATCATTTAAATGACACTTAAGACTGTATCAAAAAGTGATATAAAAAAATTATTTCTGAATTATTTTGCATAACAAAATTTCATAATAGAGGGGAAGGTGCCTGCGCTAAACCAGCTTGATGAGTGGATTTGGACACATATACCAGATGGAAGGTACACAACAAAATCAGGTTATGAAATTTTGTAATCTCAGGCTCAAACAGGTGATACAACACTGTTCAAAAAGGTGTGGAACAAAGATGTCCCGAGCAAAATGTCAGCCTTTGTGTGGTAATCGATACAGAATATAGAATTCCAACAAATGCCAATTTGCTGAAAAGGGGTGCACTTAATGATGCTAATGACAAAGCTCGCGGGACTTGTGGACTACCTCTTGAAGATACAGATCATGTGTTTCTAAAATGCAAAGTTGCGGTACAACTATGGGGGCTTTGCTTTCGATGGTGGGGTAGCTAGTTTGTCATGCATGAGAACATTAGGGAGGCCTTTCAGCAAAACTATTTTGGATCCAAATCCAGAATAGTTTGGCAGGGGTGGAAGCTAATATGGTTTGTTCTAGTGTGGACGATATGGGTTGCAAGGAATGACCTGGTTTTTAACAAGGAATCCATGGAGATAGAGGTGGCAAAATTGTTTAATCCAGTTCAGGTTTGATCATTCCGATGGGTAAAGGATTAGATGGTAGGTGGCAGGCCCTCCTTTTCGGATTGGGTGCTGGATCCAGTGGAATGTTTGGGAAGGACATGTAGAATTGAGTGAAGAGGGTCAGGTTGGGAAAGGATGGTGAAAACAAAGTAAGCAGTGCACGAAAGAGGCAAAATTTCTATGCTGTAAAATCTAATGTGAATACCCTTTTACTATATTAATAAAATTATATTTTTTATTGTTTCAAAAAAAAATTATCTCCTTTCAAATTTCCTCTTAACTCATTTTAATATGTGAATTAAAGGTTTAATATCTTAACTACTACAATATTTTTTAAAAGATAAGTTCATCAACTTAATTGATTCCATGCAACTAGTTAAGACTACCATTTGTAGACTAT